CAGCCAGCACTCTTAACCACTGAGCCATCTCTCCCACCAGGATTCTTTTTTTTCAAAAGATATTCTCATGTATTTCAAGTGGGCCTTAAGTTCACTATGAAGCTGAAGATAACCTTAAATATCTGATCCTCTAATCTCCTCCTCTCAAATCATGGGATTATAGATGTGTGCTGCCTTTACATGTATGTGGTATTGGGCATAGAACTCAGGAAGGCACATGTACTAGTCTTCAGTGTATACATATTTTATTTCCTCTTAAATTTTCTCATAAGCATCTTATTCTTTTTGATGCCATTGTATCTTAGTTAGGATTTCTATTGTTGTAAAGAGACAATGTAACCATGGTAACTCTTATAAAGGAAAACATTTAATTGAGTGGTAGCTTACAGTTCAGTCCATTATCATCACTGAGGAGCATGATGGCATGCAGGCAGACACGCTGGCTACATTTTAATCAGCAGGCAACAGGAAACTGACTGTCTCACTAAGCAGTATCTTGAGCATAGGAAATCTCAAAGCCCGCCCCCACACTGATACACTTCCTCTAGCAAGGCAATACCTACTCCACCTCCTAATAGTGCCTGTCCCTATGAGCTTACAGGGGCTCATACATTCAAACTACCACACGTTGTAAATAGAATTATTTTCTTAATTTCCCTTTGATATTGTCAATTGTCTGTATATAGAAATGACTGTGTTGATTTTTACATTCTGCAAGTTTTTAGTTCTGATAGATGTTTAGTGGATTTTCTAAGATTTTCTAATATAAAATCATGTTACCTAAAGCATGGATAATTTTATTTCTTATTTTCAAGTGTGGTGCAGTTTTATTTCATTTCCTTGCATAGTTGCTCTGGCTAGCATTTTCAGTACTATTATGAACAGAAGTAGCTGAAGAAGATACTGTCTATAGTGATATTTTATTTGTATTTTAATAAATAAAGCTTGCCTGAAGATCAGAGTGTAAACCCAAGCTTTTTTGTTGCTTTGTTTTTTTGTTTTTCGAGAGAGGTTTTCTCTGTGGCTTTGGAGCCTGTCCTGGAACTAGCTCTTGTAGACCAGGCTGGCCTCCATCTTACAGAGATCCGCCTGCCTCTGCCTCCCGAGTGCTGGGATTAAAGGTGTGTGCTACTACCGCCTGGCTGTGTAAATCCAGGGAGTGATGGTACACACCTTGAATCCCCGGATTTGGGAGACAGAGGCATATGTGAGTTTAAGGCTACATCTTAAACTGGGCTACACAAGATTGGTCCAGAAACAGATCTGGGTGGTGGTGACTCACACCTTTAATCTCAGTGTTTGGGAGTCACACACCTTTAATCCCAGCACTAGGGAGGTAGAGACAGGAGTGAGACTGGGCAGAGAGAGAAATATTAAGGGGAAAAGACAGGAGCTCACTGGAGTGTGGAGTCTGAGAGTTCACGGGAACAGGATCTCACCCTTTTGGTCTGAAGATTTGGTAGAGATAAAAGGTCTCTCTAGTGGTTGGCTCCTTTGCTTTTCTGTTCTTCAGCTTGAACCCCAATATCTGTCTCTGGGTTTTTATTATTCATGCCACAGCCTTCCTCTTGTGCTTCATCTTAGAAAAAAGAAGTAATTAGCTCTGAAACTAGTTAGCTGTGGGATTTTCATCTTTGGCACTTATTATTTTGAGGAAGTGTATTAATTTGAGTTCTACTTTATTAATATCTTTTGAATCATGAAAAGGTGTTGGCTTACTTTTCAAGTGTTTTTCTGCATTGACTGATGTGGTACTGCCTTCCATAAACACACGTGGTGTACTTAAATGCATGTAGGCAAAATATCCATGTACATAGAATTTAAAATACCTTTAAAAATGTATATGCATCTGTATGTGTATATGCCATGTGTGCACATGGGCTCCTGGAGGCCAAAGGGGGCAACAGACAGCCTGAAGCAGGAGTTCCAGGTGGTTGTGGGCTGCAGGTTCTCTAGAAGTACAGCAAGTGCTCTTAGCTGTGGAATATCTCTACAGCTCCACTAATAAAGAATATTTGAAGGGGAGGGGAAGGAGAGGAAACTAGGGTTGGTATGTAAAATGAAAAAAGATTATCTTTTAAAAAATAAAAGTAAAATTAATTAAAAAATAAAAACTAATTGTAGAGTGTTTCTGTCTTGACCAGCCAGTCCCAAACAAACACACAGAGGTTTAATATTAGTCTAAAATGCTTGGCCTATTGCTCAGGCTTGTTCCTAGCTAACCCTTACATCTAAATCAACCCATTTCTATTAATCTACGTATTGTGATAGGACTCATGGCTTGTTACCTCATTTTGTACCTGTCCTGCTCCCTGTGCATCTGGCTGCTGACTGCTCTGACTAGGGCCTTCCTCATTTCCTCAGTCTCGCTTTCCTGCCTAACTTTATCTTATTCCACTATTGGCCACTCAGCTTGTTTATTAAACCAATCATAGCGACATATCTTCATACACTATGCAGGATCATTCCACACCAACTAATACTTGTCATTTTGTTATTTTTATATAGAGGGGAGCATTCTCATTTCTATTTTTGTTTATTTGCTTGTTTGTTTTGATAGAGGGTTTCTCTGTATAGCCTGGCTGTCCTAGAAATCACTTTGTAGACCAGGCTAGCCTCTAACTCAGAGACTGGCCTGTCTCGGCATGCACCACCATACCCAGGTGCTTTTTTGTTTCTAATTTACTTCTTTACTGCCTTCTTTTTTATTTACTTGATTGTTTTGAAGTTACATCTTTTTATTCCATTTTCATTTCCTTCTGTATCTATTCTACCACAATATTTTATGGCTAGTATAGTTATATTATATAGCATCCCCAAATTATAATAATAATGTGATTTTAATTAATGGCGACTTAATTCCAACCATATACAAAAGTCCTGTGCAGATATGTCCTCCCGCCTCACTCTCTGTGACTGATGTTATAAACTGCTTCTATTGCATTGTGTGCTTATATTAGTTACCAACGGGTGCTATAGCAAAATAGCACAAACTGGCTGGTTTATATGTGGGAGATTTTTTTGTCTCCCAGTTGGGAGGCTAGGAGGTCTGCTTCCTCACAGTGATGCTGTGAGAGGAAAACTGTCCCATAATCCCCTGGCACCTATCTTCATTATGATCCTTGTTCTTCACATGGCATCCTTCCTGTGTGCTTGTCTCCAGTGTTTTCCTGTTTCTTGTTAGACTCAGGGATACCCGTTTGCATTGTCACCTCATCTTAACTATGGCATCTATAATGATGTTAGGCCTAACGACAGACACATTTTGATATATTGAACGTTGGGACTTCAACATATGGATATGTGAAGAGCACAGTTCAAACCCAAGTACTCAATAATATAGTTTTATTAAAAATGTTTAACACATGTATCTTCAAAGTTCTTTGCAAGAGATCTTTACTCCATGCTGGGGACTGCCTGCCTACTAGACACAAAACCATGCCATCCTATTAGGTCTATTTCATCATGCAACTGAGTGTCTACCTAACATCTTATATTTTAATGCCTTAGACTCCATTTAGCAATTTTCACAGGGCCTGTTTAGGTGACAATGAATTTGTCAGCTTCTGTTTGTTTGACAATACAACGTCCTGGTTCTTCATTTTTGAGGAAACAATTTGTAAGTGGGTTGACAGTTTTTAATCTTTGACTGCCTTAAATGTCAGTCTGCATCCTCTGGCCAAGAATTTTGATGTGGGGTCCGGTGATAGTTTCTTGAAAGCCCTTCCCACGTGTTGAGCCATTCTCTTGCTGCCGTCAATGTATTTTGTCTTGAAAGTTTGACTTACAGAGTGTCTTGATGCAGCCTTTCCAGTTTGTCATACTTCATGTTCATTTGGCTTCTTTGGAGTTACTAGATGATGCACTTCATCAAACTTGTGAAGCTTTCCTTGACCAGGATTTCGTGAAATAATCTTTCCTCTCCCCGGCCCCCAGCCCCTCATCCTCTGTTGAGATGTCTGTAAACTCCCTTAGGCTCTGCTCATTTTACTCCATTTCCCTTTGTTTTGCAAAATATGCAGTTTCAGCTTGCCTGGACCACACATCTGCGCATCCTTTCTTCTGACTGCTCAGCCAGGCTCTGCTGATTCCTTCTAGTGAGATTTTCACTTCAGTTGTTGTACTTCCTAGCTCCAGAATTTGTTTTGTTTTGTTTTATATTTTCCCATTGAAAAGTTTCTACACCCCATAAGACTCTCTGTTGACATAACAATCCAAATCAGACCAAATCAAACCAAATTAGAAAAAGCGCAAGTTTAATGGGTAAAACGCTCCTGGATGATTTTCTGGCCCCCAGAGAGGAGATGGGGAAGAGAGACCAAAATACCACATGTCTGTTTTCTGGGGGGCAGTGTAACTACCCTGTGGGAGTGGTCTTCAGCATCTCTTGGGGTGGAGCTGTGTTTGGCGGGCTTTCTGAGATGAGACTGTGTGTATGAGTGTGTGTGTGTGTGTGTGTGTGTGTGTGTGTGTGTGTGTGTGGTGAGGGGGGGAGGGTTGGGGGGGAGGGGGGGGGGGGGGAATTGAAGTGGACCTTTTGCCAGAACACCTATCTTTTTGTTAATATTAAATCTTCAGTAGTGCATCATATGCTTTCATCTGCTTAGGGTACGTTCACAAAATAATATAGAAGTCAGAGACCCAAATTTCCCAGAGAAAATATTTGTGGTCATGGTATGTGGTGTGTAGGGAAAGCCTGTTTTCTGGTGCATGGCTACCATTTTTATTTGTCTTTAAAGGTAAGAAAGAGTGAGGGGCCTCTCATGAGCCTCTTCTTGAAGGCCACTCACGGTCTAATTAGCTCCCAAAGGCCCACTTCCTGTATCAAAACCTGAGGTCTTCGGAATTCAGCCTTGAGACTTGGATACACATAAACTTGCAAATAGTGATTTTCTTCATTTCTTGATTCACATTTTCTTTTCACCCTTGGATCATATTTTGATTTTTGTGTAGTGCATCTGATGTCGGGGCTTCCTCACAGACATCATTTTCTTTTAAAGGTTTTCCTACTTTGCTGAAGATCAAGTCCCAAAGAGGAGGTGTGAAGTCATGGGTGTGGGTGGGTGTGGTTGGGATGGACACTCTCTGAGGGTAAATCAGGATGACTGCCAACAGTGTTTAAATGAAAACAGAATACACTAATCTATGTTAGTACACAGGATTAAATTGTAGAAAAGGGAGGGGGAGGAGCTCAGACTCCGTTTGAAATGGGGGGGGGCGTTGAGGAATTGACCTTGACAATAGGCGCTAGTCATTTGTTAATGAAGGGGCCACAAATTCCTCTTTCCAGAGATTAGGGGAATGACTATTTTGGCAAGAAGAAACTTTCCTCAAGCCCCCGAGGGAATAGAGATTCTTATCCGAATGCCTGACCTTGGAAAAAAGACTTCTTCTGGGGACTAGACACTTTACTACTATTTCTTAGTCCTACTACGTGGGGCCCATCATGAAGCTCTCAAATGGAAGGTCCTGATGTCTTTCTTACTCTTTTCCCATCATACCGTATCATTCTGATTTCTCTATATTTATTAACTGAACTCCTGCCCTTAATGGTCTCAGGTTCTGGATCTGAACTGTAGGCATTTCGTCCTTGGGATCAGGTGTGTCTTGCAAATCTCTAACTTTTCTGACTTGGTGTAATTAGGAGGACACAATGGGATTCCCGGTTCCCTGGAGCACAGTTTCGTCCTTTGCCAAAGCCTGCACAAAATTTCCCCAAGGAGAAGGCATTAAGGTGAGAATCGTTAACAATGAAAGTTAAAAGGTGCCGGAGAACTTTGTCAAGCGCAATGGTTGCCATGCAGCCCAGGTCACTACTTCTTTGTATGTCTTGGGCCTTTCGTTGTTGTTGAAAACTAAAGTACGGAAACTCTGAAAATCAAATGTGTTCACTTTTTCCCCCTCACCCGTTGAAGGCTATGTTAGCATTCAGATACACCTGTCCCTGCCCCTGCCCCTGGATCAGGCAGAGTGAGTCATCTCTGCATACAGGGCAGGCTATGTGGCCTGCTGTGTGGTCTCTTTGTACACGTGTGTGTCCTGTCCCTTTAAAAGGTGGAACTCTGCCTACTCCTCTCTCTTTTTCCTCTTTCTTTTCCACTCTCTCTTACCCACCTCTCTCTATTTGTCTCTTTGCCTCTCTCTCTCACTCTCTCCTTCTCTCTTCCTTTCCCTCTCTTTCTTTCTCTTTTCACAAGGCCCTTTCTTCTCTCTCTCCCCCCCCTTTCTTTCCCTTACTCCCTTCCCTTTCCTCAATAAAACTCCCCATGTAAACTCTGTCTAAATAGCATCTCTGTCCCTCACCCGCCTTGGTTTGGACCCAACCAAGGTCTATCTCCTGCCTTATCATCATTACATTGGTGTTGTGAAAGACTCGGCAGGCCCTCCTGGCTGTTCCTCCTACCACCGGTAGTTTGAGGTTTGAGGTGCACTCTGATCCTGCAACCTTCAACTTCGCCCTTTTTCCACCTGAAGGATCTCTAGACCCACCCACCCAACATCGGTGTAATTGGTAAGCTACTCCTTCCTCACTTCCGGCTTGTTCCCCGTGACTGAAGCCTTTCTCGCCTCGGACCTAAGCATCCCTCTGGCTCAGCTCTTCAGCCTCCGTGCCTTCTGACCTCTCAGACTCTAGTCCTTCAGGCTTACTGCCCCTGCCTCTGCCTCTGTTTCTTCTTCTTTTAGTTGAGGATCCACTGGACAGCTTGACCCATTAGTTCGATCCTTGCTTGATAAAAGGCTATTGGATCTCCTCCTCCTCCTCCTCTTCTTCCATTTTAATCATTTGTTTTTATTTTAGGTACATTAGTGTTTTGCTTGCGCATATGTCTGTGTGTGGATATCAGATCCCCTGGAACAAGAGATACGAGAAGTTATGAGCTGCCATGTGGGTGCTGAGAAATGAACCCAGGTCCTCTGGAAGAGCAGTCAATGCTCTTAACCACTGAGCCATCTCTCCAGCCCCCCCTTATTCTTTTGTTAACCTCACTCGTGGGAACTGTGTCTTATCCCCTAGATATCAATCCAAATGGTGACTTACTGGCATTCTAAATCCTAATATTTCATGGGACCTTCACAACTTCCTCCAGTGATCCAACAGTTGGAAAGGAGTGCCCATTGTCCCAAGCTCTCTCTGTTTTTTCTCCCTATTCTCTTTGCTTATCTGTCTGCTTCTTGTTTCCCATGTGTGATCCAGCCACACTGAGATCCTGTATCCCATGACCACATTGGTCTCCCGCTGCTTCCCACCATGGCTAAGGCTTAGCCTGTCTAGGGCAGGATCCTCCCTCCACCTGGGAGCGTCTACCCGCCCCCCCCCCGCCCCAAAGTTTTGTTTCATATGTGTGAAAAAATATGTATGAATGGTGTGGTCACACATGGGTGCTTCTGATTGTTTTGAACACCTGAGTTTACCTGCCCTATACGTAGGACCCAGTCATGATAAGCTTAATAGAGGCCTGGGTCTCAGTAGTTTTCCCTAAGGCAATACCTGGCTGCAAGAAAGACCTTAAACGGAGACACTCAGGCACCACCCAGGAACAGACCATCCAAAGGAAATTCCTAACGTTCCAACTGTAGATAGGATCACCTGCCAGCACACTTTCACCAGGGCACCCCCTAGACAAATGTCAGCCAATCAGGGATCCTGAACCTTAGAAATCCCTTACCCCTGCCTTTACTACTATAAAAATACAACTCTAACTGAGCTCGGGACTCTGAGATCATTCCAAAATGTTGGACACGTGGAGAGATCAAGTTTACAAACTTTTTTTTAAAATAAAGGCTCTTTGCTTTTACATATAGGACTCAGTCTCCTTGTTGGTTTTTGGGGAATTTTGCGGATCTGGGCCTAACACTGTATGTGTGTCTTGCTAATTGGGTATGGTTTAAAATCTGTAAGATTTCTGACTCCAAATTAAAACTGCTCTAAAAAACAGCACGTGGTCTGTCAAAACCTTACAACACGTGAGCATGCGCCATCTTGGCCAAGGGCAAAAACAGACAGGTCAGATGACCTAACTACCATGTGGACAGCCACCAATTTGTTTGAGGTTAAAAGAGATACTTCAATCGCATTTTTAGTGAGGGCAAACTTAAGCCTAAATAACATGTCTGATTTAGATATACCTAATGGATTTTATTCAACTCATATTTAAATATATATATATATATATTTATATATATGTAGCCAGCAAGTAGGTCTCTCGTCTCTCGTTTTAATTGCTAGCTTGGGTAGAATTAATCCTTCTTAGAACTCTGATGCTGTTTGACGACGAGGCTAATGATAGCTTTGCCAGTTTGGCAGCAGCAGACAGGGTCTCAGTTGCCTAGAGCCAATACTACTAGGTCGAGACACAATTTGCCTCATTACCAGACTCGAAAAAGAGAAAGAGAGATAGACTCTCAAGACAAACTTCAGTGCAACTTCTTACCATTCCTTCCTTTAAAGGAACTTCCTTGGCAGTGACTTAGCAATCAATCACCTGTGTCTCCGGAGCGTCAAGGTAAGGACGGGAAAGGAGCAGCCGCATTAAGGTGCACTTACGTAAAGATGGAAAGCATAAGATATGAGGATCTACGAGCGTTTTCGGGTCTAAGAAGGTGTTTTAAGGTCTGCAAATGCAAGTTATTAAGGTGTGCACATGCAAGTTATAGAGGTCTGAGGATAAAAAGACTTAAGTGTTGCTATTGAGAAAGTGATTCGAGACATCAGAAAGACTGAAACCTGTTCCAGATTTCTCCCTCTCTTTATGTTACTGTTCTAGTAAGACTCCAAAAGTTCATAGTCTTAACATTAATTGTGCAGAGAGCCATAGAGCTGGAGAGAGAGAGAGAGAGAGAGAGAGAGAGAGAGAGAGAGAGAGAGATGCAGAGGGAGACAGAGAGCCAGAGAGAGAGAGAGAGGAGGTGGGAGAGAGAAGATTCCATCTTTTAAAGGGATGGGGTGCAGCACGTGTGCACAGAGAGCGCACAGCATGGAGCGCAGAGCAGGCCAGGGTACTACCTGCTGTGCGTGCAGGGCTCCCAAGGGGCGGGGCCAGGTGTGCCTGGCCTACAACACTAACAGAGCCATTCAAGTAGTTCCCCGCCCCTCTATGTTTCTCCAGGAGAGAGTTGAAACTTTCTAGTCTGCTTTTTGTTGATGTATTTCTTCTCAACATAATTTTAGTTTCACTTGTAACGTCACCAAAGGGCACTGGAGGACCCGACAAGTAACGGAAATGTTCAGTTGTAAAATAACTGTGATAACCAGGTCAGTCTTAGCACATTAGAGCCACTCAGAAGGAGCTTGATGGGGACTTAAAACTGTGTAGCTGAAGAATCGACAAGGACACTGGTGGCAGTTGAGAGCAGATAAGGCTCTCCCGTGAGTTCTGTCCAGGTAGTAAATCGCAGAGGGGCTGGTGCTTGCTGACAGTGTGGGACAGCTGCAGTCTCATGCTGTGAATGGTTGGGTCTGATTTCTGGATGCGACTCTAACTCGAGCTCATGAATGGTCTTATGCGATGCCAGAAGTGACCCAGTAGAGGAGCATGTGCAGAGAATGAGAGCTTGTTCTGGAACCACATTAGAGCCGCGCTTCAGGGCGCAGAGCCCTTGTCCGGCCCACCTCATTCTTCAGGGCACTTCCCATCAGCACGTCCTAGCATGCCTATCGGTTTGCAGTTCTCCCTCAGAAGTGACTTTTGAAGGGAAGCTTTTGAACCGTCACCGTCTTTCCAGCTCCGTACTAATTTCTCTTTTGTATCACCTCCTGCTTTTCCTTTTGAATTTCGGCTTCAACTTCTCCTCTTTTGCTTTCCCTCTCTCCTTGAAAATATGCTCTACGGCCTGACCTGCCAAGTAAATTCATGCTAGGTTGGACACGGGTCATAAGCACAAATATGAACATTTTAAGAAAGTATTTACATTTTAACAGAAGTTTATACTTCAGTCTAAAGCAAGGAACATTCTCATTGTAAAACTACATAGCAAATATGCCAGAGGAAACAGAATTTTTAAGAAGACCTGGTCGAAATTCAGAATTTCCTCTGTTTTCCAAGGATAATATAGTCTAGATGGTAAGTATGAGGGAATCCCAAGTCAAAATCGGTTTCAGAAAAACACATTCCTCCTCCTGGCACGAGAAGAAATCCAGGATGCAGTCCAGTTATGACCTCACTGGAATCATGGCCCTTCTTACCTTATGGTCAAAAGCACAGAGGACAGCCACTTTGCTTTAGGGAAAGAAAGGCTGAAGAGTAGAAATCAGACAGATAGATCTCATCTAGGGTCTGGTCTCTTCGACAAAGTAACAACCGGCCTCGTGACTTAATGTGACCTTTCCTTACATTAAGAGAGTCCTGTGAGGAAGCGCTGCAGAGTAGGGAGGTGTCGAGGCTGGGAGGCTGAGTACCGTAAAACAAAAGCTGTGGGAACTGAGTGTAAATATCTTATCACCTGGGATTGATTTCTGTAATGCCCGTGGTTCTCCTTCCGGTACAGGGCCTGGAAGTTAAAAAGAACACACACAAGAGACCTAGGTCTTTGGAGAGGAGATAAGCCAAATGCCATTTATTCAAGTTTAGGAAATCCCTTATATACCTAACTGCTGCACAGTGGAATTCCCCTCAGGTGGGGAAATTACCACGCCCAAGATGGAGTAAACAATGGCCCTATAGCTAATCACCAGTGGGGCCAAGGGAGCACAGGAAGAAGCAGGATGTTTAGTGCAACAAGATGTCTGGCCAGAAACTGTCCTCAAGATGAACCCCGGGAGGAGGTGTAGACCCATGGGCCCTACAGATTTTTACTTCCTTAGCCCATCTCTTTAATATTAGCGTGGGAGTGTAGTAACTATTAAAGAGACTCAGAACTCTTTCACTGCAGATAACAAGATGGTTTCATTAAACTCCAGTTGTTGTGTTTTGTTTTTCAATCCATTGACGGGAGGACTTAGAAATGCATTTCTCTGAACTCCTGTTTTAGTCAGGGTTTCTGTTGCTGCGATGAAACACCATGACCAAAAATCAAGTTGGGGAGGAAAGGGTT